GAGGACTGTTGTACAGTGAGGTGAAGAGTGAGTCTGGGTCTGGGCTCTGAGGAACGCAGACTTCCAGAGCTTTCCTGGAACTGGAGGCCAGCCAGCATTATTACTCCCCAAGCAAACACAGTGTCCATGGGATGCCGATACCAAGGTCTCCTGACCTGCAACTCCATTCAATTTCGACTACTTCGTATTTTCTGGGAAATGGGTTCTTTCCCTAAAGTAAGTGTGTGTGTGTGTGTGTGTGTGTGTGTGTCCCTACTCAGATACATAGGAGCAGGGAACAGTGTATGGGAAAGGAAATTACTCAAGCAAGTCTCAGATTCTGGGTGCCAAAATGAGGATGGATTTTGGGGAAGGAACAAGGCTGGAAACTCTGCCTCTGGCCTTCCATGTTGTGTTTTGCCAGAGAGGCCAAGAGCACTGGGTTGTTATCCTGTAGTTTGGGAGGTCTTGATCAACATCCCAGGAATGAAAGAATTTGTGGAGGGCCACTAGAATTCCAGGGGTCTGGACAGAGAATGGAGTACAAATTGACATGGGAGAAGCAGAGAAAACTGCATTTCCTGAATGAAGAATACTGAAAAGGTGCAGAAGAATCCAAAGTTAAAGCTGATAATTCTTAGAAAGGGATCCTCAGGGCTTAGATTAAAAGGTCATTGTGTGATCCAGCCACCAGCCAGTGGGCAGGGAGGGAGAATGGATACTCCCAACTCTATTATTTCTCTCTCTATCACCACACAAGAACAGCTCATGATCTGTCAGCTAACCGTTGAAGACTAAAAGCACAGCAGAGGTGAGTAGGAATCTAGTGTCATGTCTATGGTGCAAGCCAAAGCTGACTGGCTGTCATTAGGAGGCACACGTGTCCTGGAATATTTAAGGTACTTCCCTTAGTCACCCTCCACAGAGGTTCCACAAACATTTAAAATTTTATTTGCAAATGTACTCTCCTCATTTTAATATTTTTAACTGTGAGGGATGGAATGCAGGGTTTATATACATTAGTAAGAAGTCCTCTACACTGAGCTACAATCCCATTCCCCATTAGGGTTCCATATGGCTTAGGCAGAGTCTGCCTAAGGCACCCAGCCTACCCCCCAACTTGCTATGAAGCCCAGTCAGGCCACTTGTGTTTGAGGGAAAAACAACTACATTTTGGAAGAGCATCAACAGGGATGAATGATGTGAGATTTAACTTTAGTTTTAAAATATCCCCCAAACAATGCCCATTCTCTCCAATTCCTAAAGACAGATAGCTCAGGGTTGTTTTTGTTCTGTTTTATTTGAATTTTGGTGATGCTAAGAGTGAGCCCCTGTTAGCAAGGGCTCTGTCACCGGGCTATGCCACCTGTACTTGTCTTTTTTGAGCCGGGCTCATGATGTAGCCCAGCCTAGTCTTGAATTTGTGATCCCCCTGCCTCAGCTTTTGTAGCGCTGGGTTCACAACCATGTGCCATCATTCCTGACTTAGTGACACCCTAGGACTAAACCTCTATTATTGTCCGAGAGGAAACTGTCAGTACAGGTCTGTCAGGGAGTTACTCTTTCCAGCTGAGAGAAGCAATGGAAAATGAACCAATAGCTTGGAAACTGCCTACACTTCTGCAGGGCTTC